TAATATAGCTCTCTCATGAAAATAATTCAATTTAATAATTCAATTTAAATTTGCTTCAATATATGTTTAAATTAAAAAATATTATGGCTCGCTTCAGAACACGCTTTACAAGTATTATTATATGTATATAAAAAAGTGTCAGCAAGTCAAGATAGATTCTATAATTCAACAAAGATAGAGCTGTGTGATTTTCTCGAAAACATAAATCAATATTATATACTTTCTCCTTTCTTTTTTAATCTGTTCTCTTCTGCTTTAGAAATGCGCCGCTATTTGATGTGTAAAAAATGCAACATACTTGGAACAAAATCGCCTTAAGTAAAACGATTAACTTATTAAAGATCTGGAATTGCCTTATACGTTGTGATCACGCGATCTATACTATTCACAGGTGGTACTTCGACTATTGATAAGAAAATTTTAAATATATAAAATCAGGGCTACCACACCAATATTATTCGCAATAGCGACATTGAAAGGAATAGGTTTAATTTCGAGATATGTACTCCGGGAGAGCCTTCGCAAGATGTAAAATGGCGAAATGGCGAGAAGTCTCGTCACTTCACAGTTCATACAATACATCCATACACACCACGCGCGCGCGCCCAAAGTGACACCCAGGGTACCCAGGCTCAATCAAGCACAGGCTTGCTGGAGGTGCAAGCGTACGTGTGTGCGTGTAGAGGTGTGCGCTTTTCTATTCGCGCGCGCGACGGGTGCATGTGTGTGTTGTGTAAACGCTACTTCGTGAGTTCGAGCGAGCGCGTGTGTGCGTCCATCATGAGTCACAGAACCCGTGGTCGCCTCTCTCCGGTCGCGTTCCGTGATTAAGCCTCCCTCGCGTCGACGGGCGACGACAGCGGAAGTGCGACTGTGGTCCCGGGAGCACGTGGGAAAATCGCTCTCGTTATCCCGGGGAGGCTCATCGCCCTGTCGCGATGTCGTTACCGCTGTTGCTGCCGCTAGAGAAGATGGCTCTGGCGGCCGGTAATCGCGTCCCTTCGATCGCTGTCACCATCGCGTGCACCTAGCTAGTGTTGTGCGTGGCTGGTTTCCCTCCTCCCGTACTCCCGCCATCATCCCCTCGTACGCCTACTCCACGCGGGACCTCCTCAAGTGTTCGGGTGGTCCGCTCGCTCGCTCGCTCGCTCGTTACTCGTCTTTTCTCTTCGTCGTTTTCCTCGACTATTTTAATTGCAATGTGTGTTTGCAAGACCCTCTGGAGAACGTCAACCCTGGGATGGACCTCCGTAGCGATTGTGGCTCACAGAAATTTCCGAGAGCGTTAAAGGAATAGGAGAGAGAGAGCGAGAGAGACGATCGAGAGTTGTGTGTGGGTGCACGTGGATGTTTTGTATCCATTTGACTTCCTCTTTTTCACGTTAAGCATCTCGAAAGGTGAGTTATACATATTGCCTATCTAATTGCTTGTGTTTTTGTATCTTGTAAAGTTTTTTTTTTTGTTAGAAGATTGTTGTGAATAATACAGATGTCATTATTAAATATCTTTTTACCAATTGTATATTCTTGTGTTTTTTTAATTTCCAAGTAAATTTATATATGTATATGCATGCATATGTTTATAGAGGAAATGTAAGATGGAAGAAATTTAAACAAAGAGACCTAGTTATAATGGATATCTCACATTAATGTGATTGTTGCGTGATTAAAATGTCTATCTATTTCCAGTTCCCTTGTTGTTACTGAATAGAAACCCAGTTAATAAAGCCATGGATCAAACAAGAAATAGACCGAGTAGACCACGACTGCGGTCTCATGGTAACTCTGCTAGGGTACTTGTGTTCGATCAAAATGAAACTGAAGAAACTGCCAGTAACATGGAAACAGAATTGCACAAACGTCCAATACCACCAAAATTGGAAAGCAAGGAAGCTCCAGTTCGGCCTGGTTAATAAGACTTTATTTTATGTTAATTTGCATTAATTAAATATTGTTTTTTGCATGCTGAAATAATTTATTCCATCAGGTTATATGTATATTACATCGAAATTATATGATTTTAGTTAGTGGAGAGTTATCGAACCTAGTTCGCATGAGAAATTCTGCGATAGGAAAGTCGGCACCTTCTCTATCAGTTCATGTGGTTAGTATATATCGATTAATATAGCACATATTTTTTTTTATATATTTGCTATTAACATTTATTGTTATAGCGTGATTTCAACATTTCTCGTCGTGCTGCTAAAGCAGCTCATCGCAAATCTCTCATAACAACGACGTCACCTACTTTACCACGTTGCCATTCACCTTTGTCAGGTATATAATTTTTATATTCTGTTAGTTATCTTTTTATATCTTCTAATTATCTTTTAAAGATATATTTCTTCTTTTTCATCATCTGAGATACAGAGATGTTTTTATAAAATAGTTAAACGTATGTAAACACAATACCTGTGATTTTGTTAGACTTAGAACATATTGAGATATTTCCATATCCTATCATCTAGTGTCCTTAATAAATTAGATTTTTAAACAATTCTGCATCTTAGCACAAATTTCGCTTACACTTAGTGGAAAGAGATTTTTTATATTTTTTACTTAATTATATTCAACAATATAGCAGATTAATTTTTTTCTACTGCTTGTTTCCCGGTATAGCATTCGTCCCGATTGTAGGCAGTCCCCTAGAGAGTCCTAGGATGTCATCCAGTCCACACTTTGCTTTTGCTCCAATTAAAAGGTACCTACTCTACTCTTATACTATTTGTCTTAGGACATTTATATTAGTCCGATCTGATTGCTCAAGTAGGTAAGATGTCGTCATTGCAAGTGCTATATTTTCTGCGTGTTATATAAATAAAAAAGAAAATGGTGAAACAAAAACTGCACTGTGTCAAGTTTATGAAAAAAAGTAAAAGTCTGATAAGGAAATGCTTGTAAGTTTCCATATAATATAAGCGTCGAAACTTTAGGCCATGTTTTAATATCTTTTTATAATTTATTAATTTGTATAAACTCTCTTGAAAAGATGTTATTAAACGAATATAATATTGCGATATTCAAGAATTGGCGGAGGTGCTACAGGAACTGGAGATGGTAGAAGATGGTCAGTTGCTAGTTTGCCGTCTAGTGGTTATGGAACAACACCTGGCTCCAGTAATGTTTCGGTAGATCGATTAGTATGCGCTGAATATTTCCTGTCTGTGCTAATCATGATTATAATTTGTCATTTGTATTCCACTAGTCACAATACTCGAGCCAAGAACGTTTGCATCAACTGCCAAATGTTCCCACTAAGGACGAACTACGCATGTTATCTTGCCATTTCTCCAAGCCCGGGACACCATGCTCTTCACACCCAGGTTTCCCAGGTTCTAGCATATCTAGTATTCCGGGTAGTGCGTCTCTTAGCCTTGAAGAAGAAGGCCGTCGGTCACCGTTACATCGTCCACGTTCCCGAAGTTTGAGGTACATTTCATAAATATGTAATTGATTGTGTATGCAAGCTCTTTATAAAATCTCTTTAATGATAGTTATTCAACGATTTTTAATTGACATTAAATTACGTTTAATAAATAAACTGACAAATATGAAATGTATTAATTTATAATTTTTATGCAATTGCAGCAGTCCAAGTCGATCACCTGTTCTTGACAACGAAATTGTTATGATGAATACTTTGTATAAAGAAAGATTTCCAAAGGTATTATCGTGATTAATTATGTTCATTATTAATAAGTGTTTATTAAAATAGTCGATTATTCTATATTAATTAACATTTTTAGGCAACACAACAAATGGAAGAGCGACTGACCAATTTTATTAATGAAAACAAAGAAATAGATGAATACGAGATAGTGGCCAATATGACGCAAGATTCATTACCAATTTTACGTTTTGTACATCATCAAGTAATCGAAATGGCTAGAGACTGCTTACAAAAATCTCAGGAAAAATTAATTACAACGAGATACTTTTATGAGATGAGTGAAAATCTGGAACGTCTGTTAATGGAGGTACGCATATATTGTGACTTCATTGAAACATATAATAATTACTGCAATTCTTTTACAGACAAAAGATAAATCTTTAGAGGCGGCAACAAGGCTAACAGGACTGATAAAAAAGCTACTATTAGTTATATCGCGTCCTGCTCGTTTATTAGAATGCTTGGAATTCGATCCCGAGGAATTTTATCATTTACTCGAACAAGCGGAAGGCCAAGCTAAAGTCAATGCGGGAATAAAAGCTGATATTCCTCAATATATTATTACTAAGCTATCATTAAATAGAGATCCTATTTCTGGTATGTATTTTTTATTTTCTAAATCAACGTAATGTGTGTGTAT